CTGTGTGTATCATTGTCCCAGTCTATCTACTGCCAGGGGGGCATGCCTGTTTTTGACTAACAAGTGTCTGAGATCTGTTGGACGTCAAAGAGGCCATGCTGTCCCAGATATTCCTTTGATGTCATCTGTATCACCTGCTCTACACTCACAGTCTGAGTGTGTGTCTGTGAGTGTGCATGTGTGTGTTTGTGTGTGTGTGTGCATGCTCCGAATTTGTCCAGGATGACGCCATCCTCCTGCAACTTAGTAAACAGTCTATTAAAGAGTTATCACCATTACATCTATGCTTCACTTCACAGGAGCTATAAAATCTATTAATGACAGGGTATCCTGGGGATACAGAAAGAAAGGGTCACAAGTATGCAGAGCTTAGCCTTATAGAGGCCAACCGTGATGTAACGTAAGGGTACATAGCGTAGCAGCAGTTATGGATGTGTGTCTGAGCAATTTCTGCATCTGTGCAAGTACAAACTTTCTCTCAATGTAAATGCCTTCCGTTGCACCCTTTGCACCGGGGGAAAGTGGCTGACAACAGGCTCTGACACCTTCTGTGAGAGCTAGCCAAACGTTTTAGAGGCTTCTGGAGTTCCAACGCCGCTGTGTTTGTTCAAGGTAGTCCATCTCTGTCGGCAGATCTAAATTTACAAGACAATAAATTATCACAGATCTGGTTCTCTGGCTTGCACGCATGCACACGCACAATGTGGCTTGGCTGTCCCTGAAGGACGGTGTATTTTTAGGGTCTGTGATGTATTCTGACCTTTCATTAGCTTTATGGATAATGCTACTGGATTTTCAGCTGATTATTATCTAAACAGCCACTCGGGCCTGGTCCTTTTATCCTCACGACTACTTAACATGCAGAAATTATTACACTATTAAATCCATCTCCAATAAGTCATCTTGCAGGAATTAAAACATTTAGAACGGAGATTGTCCTCATCAGGAAAATGACAGCATTAGTCATTACGTGCAAACATTTAAAGGGATGGTTCAGGTTTTTTGACGTGGGGTTGTGTGAAGTATAGTCATATATAGTCAGTACATTACCTGCAGCAGATTCTGATCAGCGTGCTTCCAGTTAGGAAAGTCGACAGGGGGCACCTGCAGACTAGCAGAGCTATGTGTTGCTGTGCACAGGGCCACCAGAAAAAACGTGTTTTAGACACTTTAAAAAACGCTCATCGAAACATTCCAATATCCATTTAAATGTACGCTTCATGTAGAATATTTTCGACGGTTTATCTCCCCATGAAAACAAAAGATGAAACAAGCGCACCTACAGAGCGCACTGTATTACGCCACTTTCTGATTCACTCAGCTGACCTGCGGCCGCAGCATAATACAGTTCACTCCGTAGGTGTGCTTGTGCGTAGGAATACAGTTGTTCAGCAGTTGAAAAATGTACTGCTAAATGAAAGTGCTGTTTTCATGGGAAGATAAACCACAGAAAATATTCTACACCAAGCTTACATTTAAACAGATGTTGGATTGTTTCAGTGGGGGTTTTTAAGTGTATAAAACACGTTTTTTTCTGGGGGCCCGTGCACTGCAACACAATGATCTGCCACTCTACCGGTGCCACTGCCCTAACTGGGAGCAAGCTGATCAGAATCTACTTCAGGTAATGTACTGATTATATGACTAACTTGCACAACCCCACGTCAAAAAACCTGAGCTATCCCTTTAAAACAATGTGTTTATGTGTCCTCACAAGTGACCTCTTGTGGCCATGCAATTAATGACAGTTGTCTGCCGAGCCAAGCGTTTTGGGAAGCATTGAAGAAATATGCTGTATCCCTGAAAATCTGTTTGTTTTGGAAATCTGAAATCAGCTGCGAGAAAACCGCCATCCCAAGAAGAATGACAGCACCAGTCGTTTCAGCCACTGCAGCCAAATGACATATGTTTACATTCAAGTGACGATGTCAAGTCTATGTATAAGTGGAAGAGTGGGTCAACAAAACATTGGAGTTTAACACAAGAAATTTCTGTTTGTGTCCCATTTCAAACAGTCAAAGTTGTTATTTTTGAATCACGATCACTCCCTGACGTAACCTAAGTCTTTATTGCTGTAAACTTGGGGACAAAGCTTCCTGAACCTTAACAAAGTACTTATTCAAACTATTGTCTTCCCCTTAACCTACCCATTCTGTTCTGTTTAATTTGGGCTTTTTTGGACTTGTTGCAATCAAGTTATTTTGTTGGTTAGGCTGTAGCACTTTTTGAGATGCAACACTCTCACATCTTTCCCTAATTCATTTCAGTTCGCCTCTTGTTTGTCTTCGAGCCTCCCCTCCCTCCACCTGTCCCTTGCTCTTGCTCCCTTCATGGACCTGCTCAGTGTTGAGTTTGCCCCTTCGTGTCCCATACGTATTGGAACTCGGTCCGGGCCCGACGACATGCTGTCCTCCCTGCTCCAGCCTGCCACGGGATGGGAATACATGCTGAACTCATCCCTGGACTGCCTGACTGGTGACAGGCCACAGCATAATCTCCACAGGGGACACAGTACTGGGCCATTAGTCCAACTCTTCCACCTATAGTGCATGTCTCTGGCTTGCCCTTGGTCCATTCAGCCCGTCCCCTTTTCTAACCGCAACTTTCCTTTCAGAAATAATCCTGAGTGATTATAATGTATCAACACAGAAATCAATTGGATTAGTCCAAAACCCCTGCCTCTGTAAATCTCACATTTATCCCTCCTTCACCCCCAGTGCAGCATTTAAACATAGCAACCCCCGTCAGTAATTTTCCTCTGAGGAGATGGTTGCCAGATTGGACCCTGTACATCAGGGCAAACTTTTCCTCCAACTGACAAGAAGGCACTTGACTCTGTTATTGTTTATGAAGAGAAAGCTGGGGTCAAGTTCACAGGCTGGGAGAGAGAAAGAGAGAGAGAGAAAGTCTGTTCCAGCTCCAGCCCCATGAGAGAGAGCATAACTCAGCCGTGTTTGTGCTTCCCTAATTCCTTTTGATTTAGCAGAAAATTGTGAGCTGAGCTGCAGCGCACAAATATTCACCAGAGCTTAGCGTCTTTGCCTCACCTCGCGGCCTCTCACAAACCTGTGCCCACTCGGCTCTGTGTGTTTGTGCATGTCTCTGAGAAGTGTGTGCGTGTGTGTGCCTCACTCTGACAGCAGCCTGCCTGCCGAGCTCTAAGCAGAAATACAAATGTCTCTAAAAGGAGCTTAGCTTTAACAGCAGCTTTGGCATAAACACTAGGACTGTTTTCTCAAGCTTTTGATGAAATAGCAGTTTGCAACAGCTATAGCTAATTCTAATAGTTTCAATTCCGACAGGGATTTTGCTGATTTGTTTACTTGTTTGTTAGTATTACTGGGTCAGCTGAATCAACTGTGGTATTTTCAATCCAATATCACAAACTCCCCGGAGGAGTTCAAGTCTACGCTGATAAAAAGCGTATGAATTGGTGTCTGTAAACAACTCACGAAGTGGTTTATGGGTCTTTTGGATACTCAAAAGTAGTTTTTAATCTGTCAGGAGCCATTCAAGGACAAACAGAAACATTTGATGACGAGATTTGATGACGAATGTCAACACAGCGCCAAGCCTGGAGACAACCTGAAGACACACCAAGCATGGGAACAAAGGTAAGGATGGGTCGCTCTCCAGGGACAATGTACATTGTGTACATGTGTGTGTTTATGTGTGTGTGCGTGTGTGTGTGTGTGTGTGTGTGTGTGTGTGTGTGTGTGTGTGTGTGCATGCTTTATTCCAGCGCTGTCTCAGCACTCTCTCTCTCTTACACATGTGGTTCATATTTAAGCCATAGTGCTGTTCCACTGGACGATTTGGCTCTGTTCTCCCAGTCCCACATTCCCTGCTTTTTTCTCTGACTTTCACTTCTACTCAGCTTTAGGTGGTGCATGACTGCAGACATGACACGTATTTGTTCACGATAATAACTTAAACAATGTCACAGGTTTACTTACTTTACTTTATATATACCTTCATGTGGGACAGCACACATTATTTAATATTAATCTGATCTATGTGTGCCGGATTTAGTGAAAAGGTAATTTTTTTTACCCACAGTCCCTGGGCAGATCGATGTTACACAAGGTCTTTGTAAAGAAATAAATATTTAAAAGATGTCTGCGAGTGTGAGGAAGAACATGAGGAGTAGAAGTAGTGCAACCATAAAAAATACCCAGTCAACATGCTAGTTAATTATGATTATTAATAACTGACAATAACAACAGATTTAGATAAAACAATATCTGTGAATATCATATCATACAAACAACTACAACCACTGATATTAACGACTGCATTCCCACCATATTTGTCCGTGCAGCTCTCTCATCATCCATTTTCTGCATATAAATGTTTGTATTCTGCAGCAGTTCACGTTTGAAAAAAAAAAAGGAAAAAAATATTAAAGAATATTAAGGGGGGCTGTAATAAGACAAGAAAGCGTTATTTTGAAAAATGCCTTTAGAATAAGACATACGGTTTTTCTGATGATTTAATTTTCCCGTTTTCCTGGGTTGTAAAATGAAGGCGCCGTCATTAATTATGGGCTAATTTCTGTCTGTGGTAACAGATGAACCCCTTTTATTTGTACCGTCCCCTCATCATCATCACGCTTCATCCCAGCACCAACACACGCACGTCTCTCCATCCATCCCTCTTTAATATCTCCTTCCTAGTCAAACTCTGTAACCCCTACATCTGCCCAATGGGCGAGAGGAGCTATCGGCAGCGAGCCCTCCCTCATCTCTCTCTCTCTCTCTCTCTCAGCTCTGACTCTGTCCACCGCGCACTAATAAAGGAGAGGTCCGGTGCGAGCATCCGACCCAGCGCAGAGTCACACAGCCAACAGAACCGCAGCCAGTCACGCATCATCCGACCTCTGGCTCCAGCTTTCATTCGGACCTGTTTTTTTGCCTCTGAACTGAGCGCAAACCAAGGATATGTGTTTGGGGAGCTGACTGACTGGAGAAGTGAAACAGCCGACACTTGTTGCTCGCCTCATCAGGTAAACCTCCTGTCGGCTGCCAGAAGTGCTCAGTGGAGAGTCTGGTGCGCACATGGCACCGAAAACGCGCTCCTCACACTCCTGACAGTCGCGCAACATGGAGCCACACACTGGATAAGAGGCCTACCTAACCTACTGAATGGGTGCTTCGCCTACTTTACATCACACTTATTCAAATTTGGCATTTTCTTCTGAAATCTGATTTTTTTTTGGGGGGGTGGGTGGAACTTTTGGTGGTTAAGAAAGAAAAGAAAAAGCGCAGAGCCATGCTGGGTTTAAACAGGATTCTGAGCCTCCGGGCAGAGCGGATTCGGAGCTGTGGTTCGCCGGGAGTGAGACTCTCATCCCGGTCTTCTTCATGCCAAAACCCCGGTGCCAGTTCGAGGATTTACTGTGCGTGTCTGTTGCTGTTGCTGCTGGTGACGCCTCGGGTGGACTCTTCATGGTGGTGAGTCTGCATCCATCACACCTATAGGCCTGCCTGCCCCTTCAACAAGATGTATAGAGGCTGAATTTGCACACTTTCTTTTGAAAGTAAATGTATGTAAAGATGTAAATAATGTTATTATTAATAATAATAATAATAATAATTATTATTATTATTATTATTATTATTAATTATTATTATTATTTATAATAACTCATTAAATCAAGACTAACTAACAGGAAAGTAAGAAAACGCAACAGGATTTGAACATTCATTGATCTTAATCATTTGAAACGGAGCTGGGACTGCTGCCTAGCTTTGAGTCTGTCTTTAAAAACTTTGAGGATTCAAACTGCCAACGAATTTAACTTATGATGACTGTTTTAATAACCCCCTTTTCCAAAAGCAAAACCCATTCCAATTAATTCGGGGCAGCTATTTTCCAACAGCAGACACACAAGGCCATTATGAGGGTTGAGGGTTTGTATCAGTTAATTTATTATCCGGGACATAGGCCTCTACTGTATAGCCGACGGTGCTTTTCTCATCAATGTTGCTGTGCAATGTTGCCGGCAACATTTTAAACTTTATTATTCTCCTGCTTATTTTTTTTCTCCTGCAAATACTTTAAACGCATGGGGTTTCATAGGCTATAATTTGTCATGAATGAGTGCACTGCCTTGTAATTTTTATGGGGTAATGACTGCTAAGAAAAACTCTTAATGTGTTTTTCTGTCATCATTTAATTTAATTCCAATTGACTTGCTCCTGAAAAAAAAGAGAAGAGAAACACGATGGATGCTTTAACAGTGAGAATAACCTAAATTATGAGTTTGTGAATCAGATTCAAGCTTCTTTAGGATTTTGCTTCTAAGACGCATTTTCTCCGTGTCAGTTTGTTGGCCTGCCATATTGAGCAATAATAATAGAGCGATAAATGTAATTTATGTCGGCACTGTTGGCTGAGCGCGTGTTCAGCTCAGCTGGAGCCTGCATTAGACAAGGCAGAGCAGTCATTAATTCACCAGGTACCACACACACACACACACACACACACACACACACACACACACACACACACACACAAATGACTTCACTAAAATACCCCAAAACCAGCCATCTAGAGCATAGGTGAGGGGTGAAAAAATATCTCATTGCCTGCGTAATAACATACGTGAAAATGTCCATGTGTGTGAGTGTGTTTATAGGAGAAGTGTCTGTGTGTGGGCGGGTATGGTGGTGATGGAATGCCTAATAGTTTGTGTAGATTAAAAACAGTTATAGGGAGTAGTGGGAAGAGTGTGTGTAAAGGCTTTGGCTGGGCATTATTGGCTTTAAGGGGAATTTAGTGGAGGAGATACACTATTTAACTGTTTATCACATTTCTGTGGGGGCACAGTATGTGATGATATGGACAGATCTGGAGCTTTGACACCCTAGGAGGGTCACAAAAATGACCGTGGCATGTTCCAGCCACTTGAGAAAGGCAAAAAAAAAATGGCCGTGTAATTGAATATAAATACATTATGTTTATAATATTGTTTGTAATTGTGATAAATGTGAAATAATGACCACTTACAACCTCAAACTATTCCTCAAGTGGTAAGATATCTGCGTGTAATGCTGATGTTCATCATCTTGTGTGTGCATGTATGTACCGGACTTATGTTTGGTGCCAAGTTCTCCTTCATCCATAAAATATAATATATAATATAACTTGTTTTTGATTACCATTCATTCACTTTTTCTGTGCATCCTTAGCTAATTTGGCAGGAAACCTACAACTATAGAGTGAAACGATTTCCTACTGAAAATGCTACAGAAAACCATCAGATTATTAATATCATTTTTTTTTTCCTTATATGATCCAGGTGGGCTTGAAAAGATGACAGGGCAGCAAGAGGAAAAATGTAATATGTACTGCAGGAGTTGTGGTTACATCATCAGAAGTCAGTCGAAGCCGTCAGCGTCCCCACTTGTCTTTTTCCTATGATCCACAGTACAGTCGCGGGGCTTTACAGCATGTTATTTTAGACCTATGGATAGTGATTTACTATCCTATAAAATCCACAAGTGCTCCTGACTTTCAGAGAGAAAGAGAGAGAGAGCGAAAATTAAGCGTGAATTGCTGCTCTGCCTCTTCCCTTTGATGAGCACTCTGTTCTTATTCCTCTTCTCTAATCGCACTCTGGGGAGTAGAGAGCCTCCAGTCTCAATCCTATCGCCCGGCCTCATAAAACACGACCACACAGCTACACGCTCCCCTGACCTCCCCTCGCTGACCCGCCAAAGCCATACAGCCACCGACCTGCAAGAGGTCTCACACTCTCTCTCTCTCTCTCTCTCTCTCTCTCTCACACACACACACACACACACACACACACACACACACACACACACACACACACACACACACAAGTCATGATTAGGTTTAGAGTTTATTTTGGGCAAGCAGCACTTATCTCGATAGGATACTGTAAAAATCGGTTTTATTAGGACACGGAGGAAGATTGGAAGAAGCACACAGGAGAACTGTGAGTAAGATCAGGCAGAAGACAGAGAGGAGTAAAGTGAGTAAATGGGGTCTTAGTTTGACAGAGTTATTGGAGGCCCCCGGACTTCTTGCTCTGATTTGTGACGACATGATTTCAACTATCCTATTGGGAAACATTTAAACACACATACACACGCAGGTCGTGTGGGGAGAGGTTAAGTGCTTATTTATTTGGAGAGCGGAGTAAATGGTTTCCACTCCCCTCCTACTCGCAAACCTTAAACTGTTAAGTGTAGTGAACTCTGACTCATAAAGGACTGTTACCGCAGCTCTCCTCCATGCCACTCATCACTGAGTGTGTGTCCCCACATGTGTATACACCTACCACATGAGGACACCTATATGTGCTCATCCATTGCACTATACTATTGTATTGTATTCCAGCCCAGTTCAGATAATGCTTGTGTATATTAGTGCCGATTCAGTTCAAAGCCACCTTGAATTTCCTTGTGTTTTTTCTTTTTTTGCATCCTCAGGTACATTGGTGCACTGGGGGCCCGTGTGATCTGTGACAACATCCCAGGCTTGGTGAACAAGCAGCGGCAACTCTGCCAGCGCCACCCAGACATCATGCAGGCCATCGGTGAGGGCACCAAGGAGTGGATCAGAGAATGCCAACACCAGTTCAGACACCATCGCTGGAACTGCAGCACACTGGACCGCGACCACACTGTGTTTGGACGTGTCCTGCTACGGAGTAAGTCCGTGTGTGTGTCTGTCTGACTGCTGATTGTGTGGCCAAAGAGCATGGATGCTGAGCTGAGTCCGCTGTTGCCTCACTCCTCATTCTCACCGCTCTTCTTCACTTTCACTGCCTTATCTCTCCCTTCTCCGCTCTGTCCTCCCCTCACTCTGTTCTTTCTGCGATCTTTCCTTCTCGTACACACATATGCCGGTGCTCCGTGTTTATAGTCACTAATGGACCGTTGTAATGCCTTACGCCTCGTCAATAAACACACGGACTTTGAGACGTGGGCTTGTCGTCATTTTGTTTTTCCACTCCTGCCAGACCTCAGATGCATGTTAACATACATACATTCCTCATCTTTGTAGCTGGTGCATGTATAGTTCCTCCTTATGAAGGGTGTCGTGATTGCACTCGGCAGTCTGAATCATGAACATTTATTTGGAGGGACAGATACTCTCCAGTAAAAAACGCTGCATAGCTCAGCTACACCACATTGGTGTCTTGAACTCAAGTGGTAATTTGCATGGAGGAATAAATGATAAATTACTCATGATGCCTTTATTTGCAATGGTCTGCAGTAGCTGGTGTAGATTATTACTGCTACATTTCATTTTGAATGTAGCATTGTACCTGCGGCATGCAGTGTAACATGTAAAGACATGCACTCTATGATCCTACCTCTTGGATTAAGCTTTTTCTACATTGTTGCATCTGAGCGAGGATTAATTGGAAATTGCTTTATCAACAGGAGTTCACTGTAGCGTATCTGGATGCAGGTTGCACAATTTAAGATGGTTGTCTCTACAAACTTAGTATCTGACAGCACTGACTGTCTTTGGCTTGTTATTGTCCCTCTTCCAGCCATCCGAAGCATGTGTGGGGGCTAACGATGCATGGAAAAAAGTAGCAGATATGGAGATACAGGCTGTGTGTGTGTGTATGTGTGTGTGTGTGTGTGTGTGTGTGTGTGTGTGTGTGTGTCTGTGGTGGAGAGGAATAAACAGTAATGTAGATGTAAATATTTAGAGAGATATTCTCACTGTCAGACAAACGCAGCGCAGGTTTGAACGATGAACAGCAATGCCCTCCTCCATCCTCCTCCACATACGCCCCCTCAGCACCCACTGCCCCCTTCTCCTCACCCCACGGATGAAACAGGACGTTACAGTGAATACAGAACAAGCAGGGTGGATCACACAAACTCTTCTGGTCCAGGACTGGTCTAGATAGGTTTGAAGAGTGAGTGTGTACCTTATTTTCAGATATAGATCTATAAGTGCCCCACCTCACAATCAGTAATATGTCAAAAATGCTTTGTAATGTTATTTTGAAGTGCTGGTAATTGAGTATTTCCATTTCATAAATTTTTATCCTTCAACTGTACATTTGCTTTACTTATATAGTTATTAGTTACTTAACAGAGCAGTGTTTGCTACAACAACCCTGCAGCATTTAAATACTTCTATAAATTCAGGTGATCAAACAAAAATAAATATCCGTGTAAATATGGTTAGAAACAGAGACAGTTCAATAGATCTGAGAAACAAATGTACTATGCACCCTTTGTTAACATGCAACTGCAAGCCAAGCTGATTTAACCATGAGATTAAGTCTAAAACTCTGTTTACACGGGCTGTGTGGTGAAAGCAGCAGTGAAGCAGCTTCAGTCGTCCATCAGTGTCCATGGAGGCTTGAAGCTAGGATGCCTTCAGCCGCAGTGGTGCTATGTTGCCACCCACATTTTGGCAACGCTCAAAGAGGCGCCTCAGGTCGCAGTTCCACATAAGAAGACACAGGTCTGCGTAGACAGCTGTACTGATTAAAATAAAAGTATATCTGTTCCATCAGATGGGAGACAGATGACTGAAAAGCGCAGCTGAAAGGCATTCTGTGTGCACAGTGTTTAAAGGCACACTAGCAACACCCTAGAGACTGCAAAGTTAATTACAGCCTGCGATATGACAGCGAGGGTCAGAATAAACAACATACTGCCAATTTTGATTTTCCCAGAGACTTAATGGCAGTGTAAATTCTCCAAAGAGGGTGGTGCTACAGCAAAGTGGTTTATCCACTCGGGAGCTGAATAAAAATTTGACAGCAATCTGCCCATTGGAAAATTAGATACTGTGTATGCAGAGTTGACATTTCAGCCTGAGGGTGGGTCCAAAATAGAAAGAGTTCATCATGTGGGGATCATGAATGTACTTAGTACATTGCATGGCAAGTAATTGCAAGATTAAAGTTATTTATTCAAGACTAGGTTTAGATTCTTTTTGTGGTAAAAAAAAAAAACTTTCAGATGTCAGATACTAATCTGGCTGGAGGAACCTTTCCTCCATGATCACTAGAAACATCATCCTTTGGGAACCACGAATTTCCACAACAAATTCCCTCAAAATTAAGCCATTACTTTTTGAAGTAACTTGTCATTGATCAAAACATTGTTTCCAGATGGTTGGTCAGGGAGGAGCCAGAGTGACCAGAATCATTAGGGGCCATTAAATCTTCACCAACGTCCATGGCCAATAGCTGTTAAAATATCTGGCTCTGGACAGGGAGTAGTGGGAAGAGTGTCTGGACAAGTGTGACAGACCACTTGACTGACTTGCGCCATATGAGCATAATGTTTATAATAAAGTCGTCTTTTTTTACTTTGATTGCAGAGGCACCAAGTGAAAACCACTTATGTTATGTTTGGTCGATCATGTGACTTAAGATGGACAAGTTCTTGTTGCTTTTTGGAGCAGTGATTCCCACAAAAAGCAACTGTGGAAAAGGCAACTGTGACCAAACACTATGTCTAATTCTCAATGTGTCTTTGGCCACACAATAGATGAGTCATATTCTAAGGAACTAAAGAGACCAGGAAAGAACAGATGAGCAGAGCAATGGTAGATAATGCTGTCATGACATCACCCTGTCGCTGATTAATGGGGTATCACTGTGTCTGTCTTTAAACAATTTATGTGAGCAGAGGAGAGTCCCGCAGCTAGAATTATTTCCATGATAATATTTAAACAGAGCTGTCCTATACTCTACATCAGGCCTGATATGTGCCCGTCAGCTGCACCTTCACATCCTGATGGCTCACACCCAGGCTCAGTCATGGCATTATACTGCATGTATCTGTGTATGAATGTTAACATGTGAACTACAAAGCTCTAAGACTTAAGGTCTCTTACAATCTAATGTGTTACATGATATGTTTAACCTCTCTGTTTCTTTTGTCTTATGTGCCTTCTGTGTGTCTCTCTCTCAGGTAGTCGTGAAGCAGCATTCGTCTATGCTATCTCCTCAGCAGGAGTGGTATATGCGCTTACTCGCGCCTGCAGCCAGGGGGAACTGAAGACATGTAACTGCGACCCACACAAGCGTGGGCGGGCTAGTGATGTGAGAGGAGAGTTTGACTGGGGTGGCTGTAGCGATAATATCAACTACGGGATAAAGTTTGCCAAAGCCTTCATAGATGCCAAAGAGAGGACTGTCCGAGATGCACGGGCACTCATGAACCTACACAACAATCGCTGTGGCAGAACAGTAAGTGTGTGATTACATTGCCATCAATTCACCCAAATATAAAAATAAATAAAATATATTAAACCATACATCTAGTTGTATACCTAGCTATGCAGATTTTTGTTTTATTTGCACAAGCTTTGATATATCTGCATCTTGGACACACTTTACAGCTGGTATTAAAGGCAAATGTGTGAACGGATTGGAAAATAATTTAAATTTAACTTAAATTAGATATTCTGATTTCCCCAGTTAATAACAGCCAATGCACTGATTTCTATGTGAAATACTCAAGCCTAACTTTCTAGGAAAATCCAAAGGACATTCATGCTCATTCCTGAGTCCCTTGCCTCAATGCCTCTTTTCCGCTCCCCTACAGTGACAACAGTATGCATTACAAGCTAAGTTTAGCTTAGAAATGCATTCAGCAAACGTCACAAACGACCAGCTCCCAACACAACACAGACCCTCTAGTGACCATTTATTGAAGCCCGTCTGGCCAATTGCAAATGTGACCGATGTTGAGGGGAAAACTAGGGTCAGCATCAGCTAATAACGATATTACGCTTTATACATCCTCTTTCAAAAAACATGTTAGTTTGTAACATAATGTTACTATAGTCTCACATAGCTAGACCTATTTCTTCACTTTGTTTTAGCACTGTACCAGCACTCAAAAGTCAAATATAATCTAAAATGTAGTTTAAAGTCAATCTATGATAATAGTGCAAGTTCAGTTACCTCATCTATCAACATAATGCCAGTCAATCATGTTCATAGGGACTACTGGTACAAATCCCAGTGGGCGCCTGCATAAACTTTTTAACATCCCTGTCAGTCTCTTCACTGGTCCTCTCAGCCTGTCATTCAGGGTGTGCATGAGAGAGTGCTGCCTGTGTGTTCCAGCAGACAAGTCCAGGGCATAACTCGACTGCTGGTACTGTAGTTACTCCTTTCATGCATTCACCGTTATGTCGCCACAGGTCTCTCATCAGGAGTCCAAATTAATCCCACTCCAAATTTATTGGTAGTGACAGAGCGGTTGAAGTTTTTCTTTTTCTTCTCCTGGTAATCCTTAAATTGGCACTATCCAAGCACCATAAATACTTGTGCCTACCTACGATATGTCAGCTCGCATGCAAGCAACAGGATTCTAAATGCAGTTAACTTAACGGTGTCATTATGACACAGGTTTTCTGAATGATATAGAACCTTTAACATGGACTCTCTATCTGCCAAGATTATGGGGATAATGATCTTGTGGCTTTGCATTTACACCTGGTATTGATGAGCATTGTTATGATCTTGATTCCACCACATCTCTATATACAAATCAGGTAGGTGGATCAGGGAAAATAATGGAAGATGAAATGTTAGGTTAGTTAGACCTATCAACTTGTTGGAGGATATTTTCCAAACAACAGAGCCAAACTGTACAGGCTGCATTCACACCCTGCTGGGATCCAGTCTCAATGCAAGCCAGAGCACCTCCAGATGAAATCTGACCAATCCAAAAGCATTGCCAATTGCAATGCATCCTGAGTGAATTTTAGGGTCACTTTTTATTTGAAAAACAAACAGTTTGAACATGTAATCATCTCTTCAGCTTCAAAATGATCAGCGTATAATCGCCAACAGGCCCTGTCTTGTATTCCAGTAGGGGGTGTTCCAAAAATGCACTGTGCTTTTGTTTAATGACTTTGTAAAACACAACTGCCTTGAATTGTTAACTCTTCCCTCAAGTGAGGCAGCGGAGGCATTACGAAATAAAAGAAATATACTCACATGCTGAGGCAGAACGTAGTCAGGGTAGAGTTGTAAGAACAAACTATGGCTGCTGGCATTGCTAGCGGGCTAACAAGAAGTTGAATACTTTGCTTTGTTATTTTGTTTATGAATTTCACCTGATTGAATTCAGCGTAAAGCCAATGATCTCAGTCAGTCTGCGTCCAGCAACAATTATGTCTCACCCCATTCCTCACCATATTGTATGGGGAGAAAAATCCTGTGTGACTGCAGCTACATAAGTTAGGAGAAGCTATTTGGGCTGTCTTCAAATTCTTTTGAACTAGATTTTTTTGAGTCTTAGTGCATCTACATCTTGCATTAAATTTTGTTTTTCTTCATACAGATAATATATATTTATATATAGATCACATGTTAATAATAATTATAGTGTACATTAGGTTTGGAATTTCTGCTGCTACCCTAATGAAATTAAGGTGAATCGAATTTAATTTGAGGGGAAATTTTTCATTTCAAACAGCTACATCTCTTCCCAGAAATAGCATCCTCATATTTCTGGATAATTCATAGACCTCTGTGACAGTAGGGACTAATTTATTGATATAATGTAGTTTTACAAGGCTTTGGGCACTCCAAACAAAAATCCACCTATCTCCACTGTATGAGAACGAAAGTACAAATGTAACAGGTGGGCATCTCAAAACCTGGGCATATAAAATCCAAAAGTATCTGTAAGACTAGATATCACTGTGAAAAAAATATATTTTTATCTACTTTAGTTAAAAACAACCTTTAAGAAACTTTCTTGCCTTAGTGCTGCATTTTTAGGGCAGGTAATAGCAAATTTCAAGATGGCAACAAAATACACACAATCTCCACTTCTCTCTATGTATTTAGGCAGTGAAGCGATTCATGAAGCTGGAGTGTAAATGTCATGGAGTGAGCGGCTCTTGCACGCTGCGGACATGTTGGATGGCCATGTCAGACTTTAGGAAGACTGGTGACTACCTGAGGAGGAAATACAACGGGGCCATCGAGGTGACAATGAATCAGGATGGGACAGGCTTCGCTGTAGCCAACAAAGCCTTCAGGAAGGCCACCAAGAATGACCTGGTCTACTTTGAGAACTCTCCGGATTATTGCCTGCAAGACAAAGCAGCAGGTAAGACAGCAAAGAGAGAGAGAGGAAGGAGAAGGTAGACTGGACTGAAAGACGCAGAGAGGCAGTTTCTCATGGATGTTGATGGATTGCCCCGACTGTGTTATGTGTATGTTGTGTGTATGTTCATGCATGAATAGTGTGTTTGTGTGTGTAAATGTCAGTGTGTGTGTGTGTGTAATGGTAGTCAGATAACTCAGCATGCCTCCCGTGTGATGTCTGTGGAAGCTAATATCCTTGTGCCCTGAGGGCATAGTCGCTCTGTGACCACCTGACCTCTGTCAGTTTCTGTCAACACACACACACACACACACATATATATACACATATATATACACAGCCCCATCATGAGAGGATGTGTTGATCAACCTTTGATGCACCTAATCACTTAAGACTTTTCCTGATTGGCTGGACAAACTTTTGGGATATTTGACATTAGTGCCTCCATCACTAAGAAGCTTTGTCCACTTCTCCCTCTTCCTCACTCCTTTTATCTGCCTCTCCCTTCGTCCCTGTGTCCCTTCATCCCTTCGTCCATCCTCCCCCTCTTTCTCACCTTCCCAGAGGAATCCACAGCCTAGGGACCCGAGCAGCTAATTTAAAAAAAAAAAAAAAAAAAATCACTTCTTTCTGTCTGTCACAGCCTCTCTCACTCTCTGTCTGTCTGAACTAAGCGTAGCTGGAGGGCAGAGTGGGCCTCAGAGTGTGAGAGCCTGTCTGTCTGTCACGCTCCACTGTCCATTTAACACACACACACACACACACACACACACACACACACACACACACACACACACACACACACACACACACACACAGAGTGGCTTCAAAGGGAGCAGTGGCTTGGGAAAGGCAGTGTAACTATAGGCCACTCTACCAACACTGCATAGTTGTGTGTGTGGGTCTGTTGTTCTATGGGCAGCTTGTTGTGATAGGTAGCCGTTCAAACAGGGAGCTTCTCACACCAAACACCAGCACTAATCTCTGTGGGGATGACATTCACATAAGACACAGACAATATGCAATTGCATTAGGCAATAGCCAGACTGCTACACACAATGATACATTCAATACTGGTAGAGAGCATACTTCATTGAACCAACTGAAGCTAAAGCCACACTCACATCATAACTTTCAAACAGAAATTATGAATAGCTGAGACTTAAAAAAAAAAAAAAAAAAAAGAACTAAAAAGAAGCGCAGTGAAAACAAACTGCTGGCATCATAGCTGCAAAATAACCATCACTGGCAGTTACATCTAAATAAAATCCACTATTAACACTAAAAGAATAAAGCCAGCTAATTTAAAAGGGTCGATACAGTTTCTTTGTATCTGGTTTCATTTATTAACAAAGTGCTGCACATAAGTAACACAGAAAAAGTGGCTAATTTAAGCTATTTAAATGGTGTGTGAGCGCAAGGGCATGAATGGATTTTAGGAGGGGTAAAGTTACGATGACACATATTAAGTGTACTCTAATGCTTACAAATGAACTGCTAATAGGAAGTGCAGTAGATGCTCATTTATCTTAGAATGTAACAGGAACCCAAGATTCTTTCGCTTTTACAAAAGAGTAACCCTTGATTAGAGACTGACATTGAAACACAGAGGCTAGTGGAACAACAGAAAGCCCAGATGTGACGTTAAAACTTAGGATGATTAACCTGCCAATTATTTTCTCGGTTAATTGTTTGGTCCATTGTTTTGTCCAGCCAGCAGGCCAAAACCCAAAGATCTTCAGTTTGCTATGACATACAGTACTTCAACAACAAAGAAAAACAGGAACTCCACACAACTGAGAAGCTAAAACTAGATCATGTCTTGCCTTTTCGTTTTAAAAAGACTAAAACAATTATTCAAAAAGAGCTGATTAATTTGTCTTTCATTGATTAATCAAGTAATCGTTGAGTTTGGCTCTCCACAGAAATGATCGACCAGTTGCTTTTCTTTCAGTAGAAGTGAAGCATGACAGACCAGTTAAGAGAAACTAGGTTTAGTTAACTTTTAGCTTTCATTAGTTAACTCTTTTGTACTCTGTGCAGGTTCCCTGGGCACGGCTGGGCGGGTCTGCAATAAGACATCACGTGGCACAGACGGCTGCGAGGTCATGTGCTGTGGACGGGGCTACGACACCACGCGAGTCAAGCAAATCACCAAGTGCGAGTGCAAATTCAAATGGTGCTGTGCTGTGGAGTGTAAGGACTGTGAGGAGGCCGTGGACATACACACATGCAAGGCCCCAAAACGAGCCGAATGGTTGGACCAGACCTGAGGGCACGCCCCCTCCGCCCCCTGTAATGCGACCCCACCCCTTTCCCCTTTGCAGGACATCCTGTGGAACATGGCATTCTGGGAAAGTTTGTCTGAAAGTGCTCTGCGTTTTCCGCCCTCCCCTGCCCCCACTTCGGTTCATCATTGCATGGCTTTTCTACTTGTCTCTGTGAAAGCACTAGAATTCAGTACCCATCAATATGAATTAATACCCATTACCCCTGTTTGTGAATGGCCTTGTGACTGAACTGCTGGGATCACATGATGAACAGTGAAACCAGTAAACACTTTGGGGTTCGGGTGGATTGGGCTTTTATCAAAGATTCAGTCCAGACGGCCTTTCTCTCTAGTGTGTGAGTTAAAAAATGGTTTGCTGCTTTCATGATGCTTTAAAGACACATTTTTACATTAACTGAGCCTTCAAACGTATCCAGTATTATTACAACAACATCATATACTCACATAATTTTCTTTCTTTTTCTGGGGAAAAACACTTTTATCTACCAAAAAGAATACTTGGTTGGACTTTGGGAAGTAGCTTGACAAGTGCACTTTGAGAAGTGGACATCTAAGCATAAGTTTGGCTTTGTGTGGCCAAACTGAAGTCCAGGCAGAGGACTACCAGAGGACATGGAGATGGGCACCAGATAAGTAAATGGACGGATGCATCATTAGAACTTTGAATGCAACTGTAAAAAAAAAAAAAAGCAAAAAAACAAACAAACAAAAGAAAGCTGTTTAAAAGTGATTTATTTAAATTGTTAAGTGTTGTTTCATTTCTCATCTGCGGATGAGACTGCACTACATTGGCTGATACGAGGAGAGAGAGGAGCACTCCCATTATTGTGATTATACAGCGTACTTTAGTTTCCAGTCTGTTAGACGACAAACTGCCGCTGAGAAGAAGAAGAAGAAGAAGAAGAAGAAAGCCTGGATGGTCATTCAGTCACACATAACCACAACATCAGACAGATTTCACTTCTCTGCTCTCCAGCTTGCTTGTATAACATTGTGTATATTGCCTTATCTAAACAGATGTTCATATGAAATATATGGTGCATTAGTATGACACTGGAATCTTTGTTTTTTGTTCAGACAGACAAACATAAAGGTTGAAGGCAAGAAAGAGAGTAGATAGCGCCGACAGAGCAGAACTAATCGGTGTGACCGAGCAGGACAGTGAGTCATTTCTGTTGTACTGCTGTCATAACCTGGCGTGTTATTCCCAGAGATACACGCAGATACACATACACACACACACACACACACACACACACACACTATCACAGCTCCTCACCAGCATGGGTTGAGAGACACTGGGGCAGTAATAATACAATCTATGTCTGTAACAAAGGCTGATTCTGTGCAGATCAGGGTGGGGTGTGTTATATCAGTCAAGGGGAGGGAAGTGTTTGATTAAAGGCCCAACCTAAACCCCAACCCCTGCTGGCCTCATCCCACCCCTCGCTATGTGGAATTCCAGGTGGGTCCCAGGCTAATGACTAGATGGCCGTAATTACCCGGGGCTGTTGATAGCTGGTGATTGGACATGGTCGTGCCACAGAGGACCTAGTGTGGGCTCCTGCTGGGACCACATTTAATCAAAGGCTTCTTGGCCGGCTTATCAAAGGGAATACTTTCCAGCAATCTTCTCTGCCTCAGCCCTCTCTGCTTCCCAGACTCTCAGTCCTGTTCAGTCTCTGTTATATTAGAGCCCAGAAACTCCTGATAACACAAATTCAAAAGGACAGTGCACAGCAGAATAAGATTAACACAAAAGGAGTGGCTAAACACAAAGCAGGAGGGAGACTCAACCTCTGATGCAGCAGCTGAGATGAAAAAGGAGAATTGCTCTCCTCAGTTTTCTCAATCAGTACTGGTGCATTCTTGTGATACTGCTTTATAGTCAAGTTTTTTAGTGGACTAATATTAGGCCACTCATGATTCACTTTTTCAGTTTACCAACCGCATCTGCCCCAAAAAGTCTCCACATCCTAGGAGTGGTCTTTTAATAGCCACAGGAGGCCCATATTGTTAGATAAGATAAGCTTTATTGACCCTCAGGGTAATATTATCAAGTCATTCCAGTCATTGAGACTATTCTAGTGCCAGCGTCCTGTGGCAGAGTCTATCTGTGTCCTGGATGCCAGGCTGAGAGCATTCCTGTTGTAAAGTATCACAGGCAAACCATTAGTCTTCACAGCTGGCAGGCAGCTCTGCGGGCGAGGAAGAGGAGAGGGAGACAGCACTGACTGAGGGCACACAAATTAGCTATCATGATTTGGACCTTATTTTTATAGGTTTGGCTTGCTGCTCTATGGGTAATGATAATGCTGTACTCATCAAATTAATTGCTGAGATGTCGGAATGTGGTAACATCGCTAAAAGAAGTCAGACAGGGCAAGAAACACAAGCAGTCAGACGACCTTCTAGGTTTTAAACCAAACTCAAGGCCAGCCAAACTAATAGGGAAGAGAAAGCAAAGACCAAACTCTGTAAATATCCATCACATTTTACAGATCAACTCTGTGGTTCATCTTTGACTTGCTGTACTTGCAGCAATAGTTGTGCCCGCTCACAGTAATGTCTACTTCTTTTTCAGATCTAGGAAATGAACTGGGGACACTGTTATCATAACCAATAGAAACAATGGTCAGAACTAAACTAAAATAAGACCCAAAGGTAATCTGACTGGGACCAAATCACAGACACAAGTCATTAAGATCAAACTGGTGTCCGCCTGAATTTTCTGTTGAAAGGCAAAGGTGGCCCAGTTGTATAACACTGGCACACTGACACGCACATTGCTGCAGTATCTTTAGAGTATAGGCCACGCACACAGGACACACGGCCCATCAATTTTTCAACATCAGTTATGCTCAACAGTGTCACCCTTTTTTTTTTATACTTGTTCTCTCTCTGCGTCTCTCCCTTGTGTCTCGGTACTGACAGTTATGTAGATTTATCAACGTTATGTCCAGGCCGTAATGCATGTCAGTCTGGTTGCCAAATGACAACAACCCTGAGAATGGGTTGAGGATGAACTTCACTCCACTTACACACACACACAAAACGTCGTGGAGGTAGACAGACAGGACAGGACCCACCACCTTGACTCCAACAACTACCTTGAAAATCCAGCTTCTACTGAGAGACAGAAAAACAAAAGGAGGTGCGAGACAGTGAGAAAGAAGACAACGAGTCAAACGGATAGATGAAGGAGAGTGAGAAATGCACAGGGTTACTCGGTGACCTGGCAGGCATGTTTATCAGCAGATCTTAATCTGAGCAGAAAGAACTGCGTTCCCCACAATTCATCATCATTACTCGCCCCACCTGCCACATCTCCCTGACTGCCTTCCCTCCACCTCCCTCCTGCGCCATGCTTCTGATAGAGTCTCCCCCAACAACAGTTCCCCGGCAACATTCACCTTGGGGTGGTCCGGGTGTCAGCCATACGATCTGTTTCGCACACATATTCACATGTACATACCTGCAGGCTGGGATAGGACCCCCTCAGTACCCCCCTGAGCCCACCTATCACCTGTCTGGTAAGCCCCTCAGTATGTTAGCAAGCTTTTCTACTCTGTCACTCACTGTTCGTGACCAGAGTGCATACAAACATACAAGTAAGTGTGTGTGTGTGTGTGTGTGTGTGTGTGTGTGTGTGTGTGTGTGTGTGTGTGTGTGTGTGTGTGTGTGTGGTAGGATGAGTTTAGACCTCAGGGCCAGTAGAACCTGGGTCATTTTTTCCCAGAGGTTGGAAGGGGAGTCTGGTGAGGTCAGGGGTCATAAAGTTCAGGAACCACGACCACTGATGTGTCTCCTATTGACACCTCCTAACCATGAACAACTTGCTCATGTAGCTAAGCCCTTCTCTGGCTCGCCAGCAAAGACATGAACTCAGAAGAACACCTGCTCTGCCAGATTAAAACCTGGCCTACAGTGTAGCTGCCGACAGAGTCAACTCTTCCATTCATCTTTCATCCTTTTGCTCTGCCTCTGTCTGATAGGACGGGTGTCAGCCACTAGGTATTAGGTGATGCAGCTTTGTTGGGAACAGGTTCGGATTGGGAGACTACAGGGGAGCAGTGGGAGGTGCAGATTTATTAGGGAGCTCAGACTAATATTTACGTGACCTGTCAGGACCCGAGGGGTGTACAGACAGAAAGGGAGAGAAAGTCTGGGTATGAATTGTAGCGTCTGCATTCAGGGGAAAGGGGGGATTACGACACAAAACGCTTATCTGCTGAAACCTACAACAAAAAATATCCACCCGTCACCACCGCCAACCCCTTTGCCCCCAGTCTCTCCGCCTTCACTAACTGCCCCCTTTGCCCCTTTTGTTCCTATGGTGCAACACATTTTGATAATCAACCTTGTTGGACCCCTGTAATATCACAGCAACAACTGCTGTCTTTTCTCAGAATATTGGTCCATCTGGTAATGGGTTTCCAAATCAATTCTTTGATCTGGCAAGTTGCTGACAAAAAGAATAAAACTAGAACAATTCCACTCCATTAGTGGAACAATATTTCAGCACCCACTCACCGTTGCATGTAAAACATTTCCGATGCGTCTATAATTGCTTCAACTACTGACACATACAACCGCATGCAGGTTGACCTCAATGAATTTTCCGTGAGCAGAAAGCCTGTGTGACCCGACACAGCTCCAATTTGTCATCCATAATTTATCCTTCATATAACTCACTCACTTGCGAGGGCAGGAGTCAAGCTCAGTGTTGGCTGGCTGAGCATTCAGCAGGTTCGGCTCACAGACAGCCACCATGAGGGTTAAAGGACAAAGGGAGTTGGTGCTGAGCCTGAGTTGGAAATTTAGAGTCGGTGAATTCTTCGCCGTACAAGGTGTTGGCTGCACTGTGACGAGGTTTGTATATGCGTGTGACAGTGTGAGTGTGTTTATCTCCCTCCCTGTGTGGGAATTTACAGACACACCTCGCAAGGCACAAACAACAGTGACCTGGAAAAATAGTCGAAA